GGATGTAGTTTGTGTGTGTGCGTTTTTCTGTGTTTGTGTACAGGTAGAGGCCTTGCGACGAGCTGATCACCCGCCCAAGGAGTCCTACCGAATGTCTAAGATCTAGTAAACCGAAGTGAAACGGAGAGTTTCATGGAGGTAGGCCTAGTTCCAAACGAGGGCTGTAGCGCCAATAAAAAAAAAAAAACTTCATGAACACAAATCCCCTTTATTAATTTAAGTTGTTAATCTTCCAAGCAGTGTTCTTTAAGCCGCTTCACTCCGTAACACCGTAACACCGTGTGTTCTCATTAGTCTGACGTCGCTCTGTATCCCCAGAGACTACTTTCCATCTTGCTAGTACGTGTCAGATCGATTGCAGGTATCTAAGGGATCTGAGGGTTAGTAGTTGCTGGAACTCTGCATGGCTAATCTAGGTCTGGTTCATATTATTGGGCTGAAATTTTGAAACCTAATACGAGTCTCTTCCTGAAATATGATTCGCCTTTTTACATAACGGTGAGAGAAAGTTGTTATGGCCTATCCGAAGTGTAGAAAAGACTATTGATCTTCAGGCCGATCAAAGTGGCCGCGCGGTCTGAGGCATGAACCGTCTTCCCTCGCTCGAACACTGGGATCGTGGGTTCGAATCCCACTTGAGACATGGTGTCTGTGTGCGTTTATTCTGTGTCTAGGTAGTGGCGAGCTGATCCCCCGTCCAAGGTGTCCTACCGAGTGTGTATAGGATTAAGAAATTGAAAAAGCGGCCAAGGTCCAGAGGAGTATAGAGCCATAGAGAAAAAAATGGTCTTAAGGCGTTAGCGTTGCGAGGTGTAGCAGGATAATGTTGGGCGCCGAAATTCATTGCAGACCACAAGTTAAGCACCTTGTCAGTACATCTGTAACTTCATTGTGTCTTGCAGGAAGCATGGCCAAGTTTGTTTGAAGTTCGTAATGGCCTGTAATTACACTCACGGTGAGTGTAGCAAGAACTAATATTTACTTCCTATGTGTAATCACCTCCTCGTTGGTGAAGCATGGCGTCGCAAAATTAGGATATTACGGAGCGAGGCCAGACTTGAAATTTATAACGTTGTTATATATTGTGAGGTGGAAAAGAAATATGGTCTTAAAATTAACCTAAAAATAACAAAAATTTAAATAAGATCTAAAAGTTTGTGACGATGGAATATTATTTCAAATATTATGTTTTTGGACATTATCCATCGTCTTGTCGTTGTCTAAAAACCGTCCTGTTTCTTTTTAAAACACAACGCTTCGGAGACTGGATTCTGTCTCCGGAGACAGGAACTAGCTCTATCGATTAGGCACAACTGAGTAGGTTTTACCTGAAGAAGGAGACAGAATCCAGTCTCCGAAACATTGTGTTTTGAAAAATAAACTGGACGGTTTTTAGATAAAGACAAGACGATGGATAAGGTCCAAAAACGTAATATTTATAAACAAATTTAAAATATATAATTCATAGTTTCGAAATAAAGCATTCCGTGTTACTGCTGTCAAACGATACGGACTGTACCTGTTGTCTTCTTTGTGCCCTTCGAAACGTCTGACAAGCCGCCATATTCTAGGCCGGCTCAACTCTTTGCCAGGTTGTAAGTTCGTGAATGCTTTCTCCGATGTCGAATGTGGAAGGAAATTATTCTTAGCAGTTCTGTGCCGTTAGTTTCCTCTAGCACAACCAGCTCACGTGGCCATGTGGCATAGCCAAGGCGCTAGTTCCTCACCGTCATGTTTGTATGGTTTCAGTCCGCCCTCAACACTCTGTCATAATGGGAATCAGCTATGTCGGCATGCTCTACTACTGGAGCATGTATCTCAATATCCCTACCCTTGCATGTACTGAGAACTTCTGCTATAATAATATTGATTTACACCGATAATTCAGTTACATCTATTGCAAAATCTCCGCCCGATAATTCCAGGTTGTGCTGTGTAAGATTTTAAGTTCTCATAAATAAAAACAATACATACTCCGTGGTTTTAGTCCGCAAGCGAACTATACCCACCGAGCGTCCGCCGCTTGTCGGCGAAGTTAGTGCCAACTTTAGCGGATAGAGGGTGTCGCGTGGTCAGCGCAACGGATCCCCACGGCCGTTAATTTCGGTTTTCTAGATCTCAGCCGCTATGTCCCTGAAATAGCTCCTCAATTATCATCACGAGGCTAGTGGACCCCGTTCGAGACCCACTACTACACAGAAAAAATCTAGTAGCGCCGGGAATCGAACCCGGACCTCTGGATCTATAACCAGGGACTCTGACTACTAAACCACAAAGGCGGTGTTAAAATGAAGTTCTCATGGCGGTGAATATTTAGAGTACGGTCTTCTGGGACGTGACGCCGTTTAATTTCGTAGACAGGTATCAACATTTCGAATGAAACTGCTACCTCCATTTTCAAGTCTACCCTGAAGAAGGAGACAACTAGTTCCTCGGAATTTTGATATAGGCAGATAGCACACTGTCCAACCAACAGAACCTTTGGAATTGGAACGAATTTCTATAAAAAGAAAGCATATTTTTATGTGGAAGTGCCACATGTTTGTTGTAAACAATGTAGTTTGCAACGTATAATAGGCTACATCGCAGTACAAATTTTTGGGAAAGTATTTTCCGAACGTATGAAATTTAGTCTGTATTGTTCTGTTGTCCATCTTGAAACAACGTAAAAAAATATACCAGTCTTCCGTTTACTTTAATTTGTTGTCAGGTATTCCGCTCTGGTGATTTGTGACACTGTGTTGGAAAATTGTTTCAGAGTAAACATTAGTTAGGGAGACATGAAGACGTCATCGATATTCGGGTAACTTGTGCAAAGGACTACATTTAATATGCTTTGCAGGTTACTTCTGAAAATGTTGAAATCAATGTCAGCATGTGATCTTAACGTAGTGATTCGTGCTTGGAAACTGCGCTAAATATAGAGAGAATTACTTCGTATTCTTTAGCGGCTCTTGAAGCTAAAGCAGACTTCTCTTGCTTCATAAATTATAGTTGAGGTAATTAAACCAGGAAATTATATAGACTGCGAGGGATGGCGTGGGGAATGGAAGTTCTTACGCAGTCAGAAACTAGGTTCAGATCTAACTTGTGACAGTGGTGTATTAATACAGCTATTGTGTTTGTGGACATTGTCCATCGTCCTGTTTTTTTATTTAAAACAGAACGTTTCGGAGACTGGATTCTCTCTCCGTCATTAAATAAAGCCTACTCAGTTGGGCCCAATCGATAGCGCTAGTCCTATCTCCGGACAGCAGTATCAAGTCCAAGTCACATTGCGACTGACGGTCAGTCAGTCAGTAATTCTTGGTGTCGAGTCCCATCTGGGGCTTATGACCATATATTTATATCTCTTTGACAGTTACTGTCTTGTTTTTGTGGGGCGCCCTCTCTAACGAGAGGACGGGGCTGTCTTTTCTATGTGCTGCCGGCCCTTGCCAGAGCAGTCTTTCTTGGGTCCGAATCCATTGGGACTCGCGACCATATTTTACTGTCTCAGCTCTGAGACTTCCCTTTTCGTCGCCTCCTACGACTCGCAGGGTCACGATGGAGGTATTCGACCCCGCCTTCACACGAACTCTGTTTTTGCAGGAGCATGATCTGAGTTCCAAAGGCATTCTGGGCGAGACTGTAGAAGGAAACTTCCCGCCACTTTCTGAAAATAATAATCCTACGCCCCACGAAAAGTGTATCCGTATTGGCGACCTTCTTCAGTACCCGTGGAGACTATAACATGAGATATTGCCACGCTGCAATCTATAGGTGAATCATTCAATAGAAGAAAGAAGTCAGAAATCGTGTTTCGCAAACACATTTCTTTCTATCTTTTCACTTTTATTTCTTACGTCTCCCATGTCTCTTTATTAGTTTACTTTCTCCTTTTCTTTGTTTCTTTCTTTCCTTTATATATGTATATATATATATATCTGCTCCAAATGTTATTTATTGTAGCCGTTTCCAATTTAACAACGTGTGTGTGTGTGTGTGCAATATTACCTTACAGTCAGAATGGAACTAATTTTCGAAACACTGCGGATATAAGGATTTAGTAAAATTATATTCCATTTTTAAGATCATCAGCACAACTCCACGGTTTCTAAGGTTTTTATTTAAAAATCCACTACATATTTCGACTAATTTTTAGGCAATCTTGAGGTGGTATATTGTCGGAAATGTTAATTATTGAATTGTTTTGCTCACTTTTCTGTTTTCTAACGTATCCGACGTTGTGCCACCTGACTGACCTAAAATGGAACGAAGCACATAGTGATTTTTAAATCAAACCTTTATAGACATCGCAGAGCTGTATCGATGGTCATGGAAAAGTAAAATTCAGTTTTACCTGTAGCTTATTATAAAACAGCAGGGATAAAAAGTTGAAGGACGTGGGCATGTTTGACTGCGTTGAGATGGATCAGATCGTGTGGGTGTCACGAAGGAAGTAAAGAAAGGAGCTAATTAGATAAATATTATGTTAAAAAGAATGTAATGTGACATGTAGGCCCATTGCCAAGTAACAGCTATGCAAATAGGCGACAGTATAGCAGCCGTTGTTAGGGAACAACTCTGTGGACATGTTTCCTCGTCGACGAGAGAATACGCAATAATTGAAGAGACGTTTTCTGTACGGTCCGTGCCGGGGCTATAGAAGTAGGACTAATTTGACTTGTTTGAGTCATTTGAGAGCTGCAGTTGTGAGAATTGAGAAGATAGTAGTTGAGGCCTAGGACATTCCGGGAACCCAGAGGAAGGGGAACGTCCGCCGTTGAATCCTCTACTAAACAACGGCTAGTGAAGACTAAGAAGTCTTTATGTATGCTGTACTTACAATGATCTTCGGAGTGTGTAACTCAGTGAGACTGCCGTAGTTGTCTATAGGTACAGTTGTTTAAGAGTTCAGTAACTAATCCAAACTCCGTCAATCGTCACTTATAACGTGACAGTAATATTAGTGGGATTTGTATAATCTGTTCTTGTGTCGTGATGTAGTTGTGACATACCAGCGTAGGCTCGAACATCATAGCTGGTCCCGATGGGGGCGCCGCTGTACTCTTTGGCGGGAACCAGCTGGACACTTGGTGGTGCCAGTGGTGTCACTTCCATCGTGAACGGATGAGCATTGGATCCCAGTCTTTTGATTAACGCATCCTGTGAAAAGATGACCAAATACTATATGTACTTGTAGGATTTGAGTTCTCACAGTGGTGGTTATGAAGATTTCTATCTTCTGGGATATAACGCCGTGTAGTCCGTCTGATTGTTATCTGCTTTCACGCTGGTTTCTTTCTTAGCTTGTTCTTTGACCCTGAAGATGGAGGTGACATGTTCCACCAAAACGTCTGTTGACTTTCAGCCCACTACACGGCGTTCTATCCCAGAAGATGGAGCTTATCTGTGCACATATGAACGGTTATAAGGCGCAAGATCTGTCTTGAAAAGCTTATAGTTACCCGGTTGTTCAAAAAATTCCTTACTTTTATGGTAGTGGAAGATTCACTGCAGATTTTAAAGAGCTTATCCTTGGACCCCGATGTTAAAACATGATTAGGATAGAAGAAGACCCTCGCGTATAGGCTTCCTTGTTGTATGGAACACTGGGGGCCCTACTTGCGTTAAGGTTTTAGAATGTTGCGGTGGGAAATGATGATACGTGGGTTTATTGTTATGATGTCGCGTATTTTGTTTTCTGTAACATCATAGAGCTGTGGTTGTGTTGGTAATCCGGATGGCTGGATGGATATGGGTGCTCTGATGGGCGGATGTGATGGTTTAGTGGGTGTTTGTGATGTCGGATGGGCGAAAGGACGGATACATTGTTTGTTTTAGCTACTATTGTTATTATTCGATGTAGCTATGATAGTAATTAAGTGATGGGAGCGCGTCTCCCGAAATGCCATTGTTTCAACAGACTGAATCAGTGGGAACATCAACGGATGTCTGTATCAAGATATGAGGATTAAATGGACGAATAACGGTCTGTGGACGTAGAAGAGAGTCACGTAGAATAACCGGGTTTATTTGGTCATTGCCTTTATTTACAGAATTAACTTAATCGGATATCCTTATGTGTCATAAGCTGTGATTCATTAAATGTCACATGCATAGCGTTAATGAGTTATTAACTGCCAGCTGACATATGAAACGAATGCAGGCTTACATTGTTCTTAGATTGCTAATGGTTCTTTGTTTAAGGTGAAAACGAGCCTTTATTTATTTATTTTTAGCTCACTTTCCTTATTTTGAAAAAATAAAATGAAGCTTATGAAACCATCTGACCCCCTCTGTGGTCTAGTGGTCAGAGTTCATACCTACATATCCAGAGGTTCCGGGTTCGATTTCAAGCGCTACCAGATTTTGTGAGAAGTAGTGGGTCTGGAACGCGGTCCGCTCAGCCTCGCGAGGATAATTGAGGAGATATTTCAAGGAAATAGCGTCTCCGGTCTAGAAAATTGAGATTAACGGCCGTGGGGATTCGTTACGTTGACCACGCGACACTCTATGTCCACTAAAGTTGGCACTAACTTCGCCGAAAAGCGGCGGTCGCTCGGTCGGTATAGTTCGCTTGTGGACTACAGGCCACGGAGAGTTTATGAAATCATCTTACTCTCTGCCTGTATGTCCGTCTGCCTGTCCACTGTCCACGTCGCTGTCGGTAACTCGGATTATATATCATCGAACTGTTGGAGAGATTTGGAAGGAAGCAGTCATAGCCTAATTTGAGGCAGTAACTCGGCATTTCTTGGAGGGACTGAGAAGAACCGCGAGAAACCTCAGGATAGTCGATATTTCATTTGAGATTCAAACCGTGCACCTACTGAATGCAAGTCGGGAGCGTTAGCTCTTGAGTCATTGTGGTCGGTGGTAACCCTATTTCTTTTTTATTGCTAGTGGGGTGGGACCAAGTCCCTTGTACTGCGGCCACTTCTGGCGTATTTTACCAGCCCCAGATGGTAGGTGAGGGTGATTGTGGAGCAATTGGTGGAATGAAGTTTGGCAGGGGAAACCGAAGTACTCGGAGAAAACCTGCCCCAGCGCCACTTTGTCCACCACAAATCCCACTTGACCAGACCCGAGATCGAACCCGGGTCGCCGCGGTGGGAAGCCAGCGACTAACTGCTTGAGCTATGGCGCGGTCTGGTGGTGACCCTAACACTTAATCTTCTGGTATAAACCTTGTGATTTCAAATAAGCGATTGAACTTGAAAGTACGGACGATTTATTGTTTATTGGAGTGGAACCGTACTGGATTTTAGTGCCCCATTTGGGAAAGCCCTGGAAGGAAGGCAAGGATGTAACCAGTCAGCCAGTCACAAGGCCTTCGGCCCGTCTTTCCGTTCGTCTACCCAATCAGACATACACGTCGGCATGACTACTGCTCAGTCGTAATGACGTACAGCAGGCGCTCCGTGCGATCTGATATGGCTGCGTGCCTTTTAGGCTAGAACACACACAGCAACATCGGTCGTACGGAAAAATATCCTACGATTGTTTTTGCCGTACGACCTCCTTTTTACACTAGAGCGACCAAATACATTTCTTTGCTCTCCGACTGTCGTACGGTAGATGTCGCATATCGTCACGTATGAAAGCTTACTATTTGATGCGACGTGAACCGTACGACGTCGTACGACCGATGTCGCTGTGTGTGTTCCTAGCCTTAGGGTTAAGCTCTGTGTTCGGCTCTCACGTTTGTTTTCCGTGGTAAAGGTAAGGCTATCCCTGTAACATGCCGCGAAGGCCCGTTGGGCTTCCGAGACATCGAAGTTCTCACATTTTCTCTATGCAGTCGTCTCACAAATTGCGGTGAGGCCGGCTTTACGCGCCGGTCGCCCTTTACCCCCAGGAAGATTCCTGGTACTCATTTCTGTTAGCGGCTGAGTCCCCCCAGAGCCATAGTGCGACTGGAGAGTTTAGGTAAGTTGAAAAAATCCACCTCATCGGGACTCGAACCCGCGATCTTCCGGCTTGTAGCATAGTGCCTCAACCTACTACGCTACCTCGTGACCCGTAATAGTAAAATTAAACTGACCGTTGTAACCGTAACACTTTTTCAGTGTTTAAAAATTAATTTGTATTAAAGAAGAAGACGGTGTTGAACACAGATATGTTATGCATAAAGGTAGTGTCCCTGTGTCTTAATTAAGCACTGCGTCATGAAGGCGTGTGGGGGAATGGATGTATACATCTACGTTTTCTTGACATCGGCACTTAGTTGGAGATGAGTGGTCAGCTTCACGACCCGGCCGCTTTATCCCCGAGGGGGAGTCACCTTGACCCATTGGATACTAGGCGGAGTGAGCCCCAATACCTGTCAGGACGACGTAGAGAGGAGAATAATCTCACCCCCACCCGGACTCGAACTCCGACGCTTCGGCCATCCAGTCCGTAGCCAGTCGCTATACTAACTGCGCTGTCCCGGCTCTTACATGTTATATATATATATTTTTTTAATTTCCTCATATATTCATTTTTACAGAATGTTTCATGTGCATAACTCAGTATTTACCTTGCCATATACAGGAGTATTGCTACTCTTTTTATGTGCTTTATTATAACATTCATTTATGAATATAACGATTAATTTATTCCCATATGTACTGGTATAGTTTCGTTAAACTCGTTGAAAATACTGTCCATTCCATCATCCATTCTATCTAATTTTATTTCACAACGTTACATCTGTCGTTTTTAAAAGCCTCTACGAGTATATTAGCGTTTCGGGCAATATTCTAAAAAAGGGTCTCATTCAGTGGGTATGTGTGTATGTGTGAAAATTAACTTAGGGTCATAAATTTAATGACTGTCATGACGTCACGATCTCCTTTTCGTACCTGTCGGCTGCTCTTTCTAGGACAGTTTTGGAGCTTCAGGCTGTATCGTGGCACGGCGTCTTCTGCAGCATTGAGGCGATCTGTATTCCGGGCATTCTCTGATTAAATTCCTACTTCTCTGCACAGAATTTTTGTTTACTGAAAGAATTTAGGGGGATGCAGTTCTCCAGAATTCCATTTGAAGTCATCTTGAATAAATTCACTGTTCGCCGTATTATTCGGAAATTTTAACCAAAATGTTATGTTTTTTTACGTCTGACCAGAGAAGTCTTCCCATAGCAAGATTACATTCGATTCACGCTCCCTTTATACAAGTTTGGTTTTAATGTATAACTTTTTTTTTTCACAGCTACTTTATTGTTTATTGGTACTGCGTTTCTTGTTCTTATCGTCCTTGTACTTTTCTTCTTTGTCTGGTGAAAAGAGTAGTTTTTCCTTGTGCTGTTTCCTTGTTACTGTTATCTTTGTCTTTGGTCACAATGTAGTAATTGGCCTTGTAGCAGTTGATTCGGGACATAAATAATACGGAATTGAACAGAATTATTTATAACGTTAACAGATATTAATGTACTGTGTTAACGAATTCCATGGAGTGGAGTCCTTCTTTAGAAGATGTCAGTCGCTTGGTTAACCAAGAAATTCTCTGCCTCTTCTTCTTCTGCCTTTTGTATTATGCCTCTTCTGACCTATTTCCCATCATAATTAACCTGGAACCATGGATCTTACAGACAGTTTGTTGGACTCCTTGGACTGGGGATCAGCCCGTCGCAAGGCCTCTACCTACACAGGAGAACACAAACACAGAAGAAACGCGGACAGACATCCATGCTTCTAGTTGGATTCGACCCCACGATCTCAGTGTTTGAGCAGGCGAAGACATTTTATGTCTGAGGCCGCGCGACCACGGTGATCGGCTTCTCTGTTTTTATGGAACCAAAATATTCATTACCGTATTACAATATTCCGCCAGTGGGCCCTATCCGGATCTAGGAAAATCCAGTCCCTACCTCTCACATGGAATTAATTTAGTACTATGCACCTATTAATGCCTTGAGTCTCTAAGGAGTCTCTTCTGTTCTGGTTTTCAGACCAAACATTTTCTTTCACACGGTTCTGATCCCCCACACGTGATACACGTACCGCCCATGTAACTCGCCTATCTGATCGTCCTAAAAATGAAGTATATTAAAAATATTAATTAAAATCTGAGACTTTATGTGACGTAAAATTAAATCTCAATATAAAATCCAGTCCCGAAGCAGCCGACACAGGGAGAGGAAATTAATGCAGGTGTGACAGAAAAGTGTGTTACGTCAC